GTGAGTGTGTGTGTGTGTGTGTGTGTGTGTGTGTGTGTGTGAGTGTGTGTGTGTGTGTGTGTGTGTGTGTGTGTGTGTGATATTATTTATGCTGACCTGCTGGTAATATGAAGGGATGTTAGTAAAGCTGCCTGATCTCAAGCCCAACTCTCAAGACTGATGTTGTCTGGAGGCAGTAAGTGCTCTGAGGGGCTTCGAGTGCGTGTGTGTGTGTGTGTGTGTGTGTGTGGAGATATGGAGAGAAGCGGGAATATGTACAAATCAAATGGGAGTGATAGGCTGAGATGGAGAGAGTCCAAGTACACACACTGTCAGAGGCTCAGATGAAAAACTTGCGGATGGGAGGTCTCCATGGCAACGGCAAAGCCCAAAGGCTTGTTACCGAAACCCGGTTAATTATGGAGAGGGAAAGATAGCTTTATCTCTCTCCTGTGGCAGCTCTCCTCCTATCCATCTTTCCATCCACCCAGCCCTCCTGGAAAAAGACACAGAAGGTGAATGAAAAAATATAAGAGATAAAATAACAAAGAAACATTGTTAACGCACACACTGCCAGACAGCGGTAATATATAGATGAATAAAAATGTGTTTCTGTGTGTGTGTGTAGCATGTCTAGACCTACGGCAGAGGAATCCAATCCGTCCACCACCACGAGCCGAAGAGTGTTTATGTGGACAGACTGCTAATACTGCTTCAGAATGAGCAGATGTTCATGTAGAAACACAGGGGAGAGATTCTGTAGACTGTCCTACAGCGCTGCAACATTTGCACAACAAACTCCTTCCAGTAATTGTTGAAACAAAAATAAAAATTCAGATCATTTACTCGCCGTCATGCTGTTCTGCTTTCTTCCTCCTTGTTCCGACAGAACACACTTGACTGATATAAAGCAGTGGTCAAGCATGTCTTCTGAAGAAGAGTTTTGTTTGAGGAACAGAACATAATTCAAGCCATTATTCATGCAATTGTTATAAATCTGTAGCTTCAGTCTTGTGCATGTTCACACTTGGTCATTTGTGTTGTGTGTCGGGTTTGATGTCAAACCCAGTTTGGGATGTAAACATATTATAATCCATTTAGTTCCTCTTGTTGAGCTCTGATGACAAATTAACTGAAATTTAATGAGATTCTTCACTAATAAATGTGAGACATCCTGGGAATGCTAAACTTCTCATGATAAATACATACATACATACTATTATACTTCCTTTTGACCTGGAGATGATTCTTTCCAAAATATAATAATAACAATAATAAAAAAAAATTCCACCTTGTTACACTGACCTAAATTTTTTTTTATACATTTCTTCTTATGCTATATCACTACAGTACCTAATTATGCATTCAGTCTTTTTGATCAGTTTTTTTCTTTCAGTTAGCACAGGTTTTGTATTCGTAAGTGATTAATCGTAGGCCTCGTTGATCTGAGCTTATATTATACACAAATAATGCATTTTTTTCACTTAAAAACTGATGCATAATTTCAGATCAATGAGGCCTATGACCAATCAGTTCCAAAAAGAAATACAAATCCTGTGCTAACTGAAAGAAAGCAAGCTGACAAAAAGATTGAATCCGAGATTTGGTGATGATACGGCATAATGAGCACATTTGACAAGGCCAGTCGTTTCTGAGCAGGAACACTAAATGAGGTGAAGGGTTTCCAGCACAGCACAAGGGTTCGTGTCAAACACATAAATATGTTAACTGTGTTAAACAGATTCATCATATCCTGCTTAACTTGACCAGCCCAACGTTTGAATGCATTACAATAATGATGATATATCTGACGACAATGGGTCAGCTGATCTTTTGGCTAAAGAACAAGTCTGTGTGTTTAAGTAGACATTATATCATCATTATCTTGCATTAGTCCTCCTTACATGAAACCCCATGAGTAACCATCACTCCCTGGAGCGGTGTACTGAAGCCTGCAGGTTAGCCAGGGGACCGTCCCTGCAATTTGCTTCTTACAAGCTGCTTTGGGTAAAAAAGGCATTTGCAATGACTGGCAGCCAAAAAGACTGCTCCGGGTTTAATGCATATTTGCAAATCAGCTCACACTTCACAACGGGTCCACTGTTTTCCTAACACTAATAGAATAATAATTCACAAATACTGATCTTGCCGTTGTTAAGGGGTCCGGAGTACTTTTAGTGTGTTGCTAGGGCATTGCCATAGATTATATTATAATGTCATAGATTAACCGATATTGTTATTATAACATCGGAATCACTACAATATGAGTTTTAACTTTAAATATACTTATAGCCACCATAAAAATACAGTTAGTAAAACTGAATATCGCATGGTGAATCTAAGTTCATCGTAAAGTGACTTAAATAATGGCTAACATTTCAATGTTTCACAGTGTGAAAAATACAAGTGCATGCATTATCTTGTTGAATATAATATAGATTTTGACCATACATTATATGGTAATCCATACTTTTACTAAAAAAGTGATATACTATGTGCATAAGGTGCACTGTAAAAAAAATTGCCAGGAATTTACAGGATTAAAGAGCATTATTTTACAATAAATGACTGTAGTCAGAAATTTGCTGAAATGAATGCATGCTGGGATTTTCTTCCATATGACTGTGAATGAACAGCAGAACGATGCAAGCATCCCAGTCATTAACTGCTCTTGATTTACTGTGGATTCACATTAGAACATTGTCTTTAACTGTGCCACTGAGACAAATGTAGATGTTTACCGCGGTAATTGTTTTGAAGTCTCCATAATGGTGATTGATATTTTTGATCTGATCCTGATCTGGTTGTGTCAAATGAAAGCAATTGTCTAAATGATGACAGGCTAGAATATAAAATAAGCTAATTGCCCCGACTTTGAGATTGTCAAACCATTCTTAGCATGAAGATTAGTCGGTGACATTACTGTGAAAGTAGTGCAGTCACTAACCTGGAATATACTGTAATTTCACACTGAAAGTGTGCTCACGGTTAGTGAATTCTCATTTCCTCTCACTGAGTAGCAAATATCCTTGACAGTAATAATAACAAAGCATAATAAAGATGCAAGTAACCTAAAAATGACACGCCATTTATTATTTCCAAACAGGGTCACCAGATCATACGGCAGCGCAGTCACAGTGTGATCACAGCGGCTCGTTCTGCTCACATCAGAAGGCTATAGATACACTTTATTATGCAGATACTGTATAAAAGGCATTCTAGCCGCAGGGCGTGTTCTGCATTCTTCTAATATTTATTTTCCATGATGTTGTTGTCTTATGCTGAGGCTTTGAGTGTGAATATTTAACCCTCTTCGGGGGTTCAAACCCACATCATAGCACTGGCCTCTTGGGCATGCAGTCCTCACGCTCAGTTTTTTTGTATTATAATAAATATTATCATGACAATTAAGCACATTCTTATAACTGCAATGCATGCAAACAAACAAACAAATATTATATTTTTTGCATTGGAAATATTTTTATATGCTGGTACTGTTTTGTAAAAAAAAAAAAAAAGACATTAGAATTTAATTAAAGCTACAAATCACTGTATCTACATTAAAAACATGTAGCCTAGTACAGTGCTAAATTACTGTTTGCTGCCGAATCTTGCTGCTTTGGACCTGTTTTGTGAGATCCCCCTATAAGCTTCCAGGGGTACTCTCTCTAGATGAAATGGCAGATACTGTATATCTGTATAAAACACAGACAGTGCTCTGTGATATCCGCACTTCCTCAGCGCATCGAGCTCTTGTTCCACTCTCCTGCTCTGTCTGGGCTGATGAACATCGCTGAGAAATGGCAGGCGAATCAAGCTGACACGAACGAGACAATACAGCAAGCTCTCTAACGATGGGGGCTCCGATTCACTTCAGTGAGTCGGTTCGTTCGGACGGTTCGTTTGAAAGACTCGATTCTTTCGAGTCACCATTTCAAATTGTTCCCATAAATCTAACTGTGGAGTTTAGCATTATTTTAATTTTTTTCTGTAGTGAGAAACATTTTAGTCAAATGCAGCTATTTATTTTATTCATGCTTTTGCATTTTCTTTCTTCCATATTTAGCATACTCGTGTGATTTCGCCTTGGGAAAAAATAAAATAAATAAATATATCATTAGTTATGGCTTCAACACCCACAGCAGTACAGTAGGCATCGGGAATTCGATAATAAACACTTTGCGAATCAGTTCAAATGAATCAAGGAACCGATTCAAAAGAACAATTCGGACACCGCTACGGTGTGAACCGAGCTTGAATTATGCATTCGGACTAACAAGGCAAAGTGATGCTCAGAGAGGAGGACAGAAGACTCGGGGAAGATGCATTCAAATGCGATGAAGTTCTGTGAAGCGGTTTCTCGTCGCAGCGTTATGTACGCACGCATGATTAATGCAGTGTAGTGTTTTATTGCTACGCAGCACGGGGTGGGTTTTATAGCTGATATCGGATGGTCGGTGAAAGGAAGAGAGAGAGAGGGTGCATGCTTTTAATGATGACTTATAGGCTACAGCGGACCGTCACTTAATTCTGAATTACAGCTCGAATAGCGTGCAACTTCTGAGGAAATAACAAAAAAAGCGTTTTATTCGGTAAAGCAGAGATGGATGGAGATGCAGGCAAAAGAAGAGCTCTCTGATGAAAAGGTGAGTTGCGTTAATATTCCATTTCGCTATTCGTCTACGCAGTCGGCATGAAGCACAGCTGTCACAGCACACAGAGACTGGTCGGACTGGTTTCTGGGTTTCTGCAGGAATATGATCCAGGGCCGAGTGCGCAGCGCAGGAGCTGTGTGTTTCTGCGCAATCTTTAATTGTCGCTCTGTGTGCGGTCTTCGCGTCGCAAGATTGCTGTTCCAAAGCGCGCAGCGTCTTTCAGTGAATAACAGTGCAG